AGTTATGTCGGTTTTTTGGGGGGTGGTCTTATCATCACCATCGTTATTATGATTTTAATTTTTGGCGACGCCAGGAGTGGCGGAGGGAAAAACACCAGAAACATCCATGCTCCTCCCAGCAAACTCCTCGGCAGGCAGGGCCAGGCTGGCACACGGGAGGGTGGATTCTGCTTTGAGAAACAGAGGCCCTTTCATTTTGTCCGGCATCTTTAATGCTGCCATGTCCACAGTTGAGCGATCCAGTTTCTTTCTCCCTTTTATTTTATTTTATTTTTTGGGAGGGAGGGGGGATAAAAGGAAGCTCTTTTCAGCTCTCAGCTTAGTGTGGGGAAAATCTTTTAGGTTGTTTTGGGCTTTGTATTTTAAGCACTTATTTAAGCCCGGTTCCTAACCACCCTGCCCACAGACGGCTTCTGGGGTGCGTGTGGGCACGTCCACCAGACCAACCCTCGGGGGCCCTGAGTGGTCCCAGGGCCTTCCTGTGCCCTGATCTCATCCTGGTTTCGCATTTGCAGAGCTGTGGCCCAAGACATCCTGACCATCCAGGGCCTGAACCGTGGCCAGCGGGGCAGGGAGTAGAGTCCCTTGAAGACCTTTGGGTCCCTGGGCCACGCCACCACTGCCGTCTGGGAGCTGGGTTCTGTGGCTGCCAGAGTTTCTCTGTTGGTCCCAGAACCTTTGCATTTAAAAGGTGGGCTTTGCAGGGTTCGGCTCGAGTTCACCTCCACCCTCTGGCAGGCTGACAAAAGCACCGCAGACACGGCCCGGTTTCCCCACGTTTGAGGGTAGCAGCCAGGGTCTTGATTTATGGAAAATGGAAAATCAGGCCCCGAAAGTTCTGAATTGCAACTAAGAGGAAAATTCCCACGTGAATACGTTTTTGTTTTCCTGATTCGGAGGCATTGGGGTCCTGTTTGTGCAGGCCTGAGCAGCTGGCTGGAGCAGACATCACCAAATACTGAGACTGAGCTCAGCGCGCACGAGGAGTATCTGCGCCTGCTTTTGTTCTTAGATTCGACAGCAGTCGATCCTGGAGGATTTGGGGCTGCAGATACAGGCGTATAGAGCAGAGATAATTAAAACATTTTCATGATTATGACAGCCACATTCTGCTGCTGCGAGCTGGAAGATCACTCCACCCAAATATTTAGCAAGCACCAAATAAAACACTGGTGACAAAATAAAAGTAATAGAAAAAAACCAGAGTGTAATAAATTCTAAAGGCAAAAGAGGCAACAGGATAGAGAGAGGTTGGGGGGGGGAGGGAAGGTTCATCATTTTTAAAGAATTTATACTTTTAATAGCTGCCCACTCCTCGTTTTTAAAATTTGTATTATAATAAAATTATAGTTTTATTATAATTAATGTAGGTGAATAGGCCTTTAATCCTAAATCCTGCAATGACAGGCAGATTTCCTGAGCATTAACTCGTCTTATTTTTGGACAAGGTAGAGGCAAACAGCATAAAATCAATTAATTTCCATAAATGAGCATTTTCATTCTAAATTAGTATTTTCCACCGAGATTATGTTCAATCTAATGGTTTTAATATGTATGGATAACACATTCTCCAGCATACACCTTATATAGTTGAGATAGTTATATGTGATCAATTATCACCTTGGTTTTTTAACTCTGGTAATAATACTTTACCTCCCCCAAATCAGTAAAATTCCACAGAATCTTTTTTTTTTAAATCAGGCAAAAGTATCAGCATTCTCCATGGCACCCAGTACTTCTCAGCAGTATTTTTTTTTTTTTTAAGAAAGTACCACACATAGCAGTTTTCACATCATCGCTTCTATATAAATTCCACTATAGACTGAAATTATACATTCTCACAGCACAGATGGGCTGGTCTGTCATTATGACTGCCGGGTCCTTGTTGGAACACACAGCATATTTCAATTGTGGAGTCGACAATTTCGAAGAACTGAGGTCAAAATAAACAAGTTGCATTTGTGTTTAAAAGCAGTCTTATTAAATGATCTTCTGATCCCCTGAAAAATTTGGTAGCAGAACAACCATCACCTTTATTAAAGTTTAATTTAAAATTTGGTCTTCATCTGCATCTTTTTAAGACTCCAAATGCCCTATGGCAAAGGACCTTAAATGTTCTAATTAATTATCAATTTTTACCTTTTTTGCATCATGAACAGCCTAACACTAGATTTATATTAAAAATTATGGGGTTTGGGACTTCTGATTTTAATATCTTCATAATCTCTGTAGGAAAGACATTAAACCTTTCGTTGTTCCATGTACTTTCATGAAATTATTTTGAGAAGCTTCTGAAAAATCAGATGGTATCTTGCATGGTCTCAAGGTACATTTAAGTCCAAACTGAAAAACAAAATTCAACAGGTAAACTACAAACACTAGCCATAAACTTAAAAAAATTATCTCGCAAGATAACAATGCAGAATTTATTGGTCCATCTCAACACACGTGAGGGCAGGGCAGTTCTACAGGCACGATGATTTGCAAATGATGGTAACTTTATTTTGTGACTTTGCTCACGTTGTGAGGTAATCGGTTCTGAGGGTTCTTTTTCCGCCCCCTCCCTGTCTTGAAATGGTCACTTCTGCGTGTCTAAATTCTGGATTCAGGCTCTGCAGCTCTCAGCCTCCGAGGCCCTTCCTGGCCAGGAGCAGCTTGCCCAAGTGTCTGCCGTGCTGAATGAGAGAAGGGTGCTTCCCTCTGCCGTGTCCTGAGTGCGCCCAACACCCTTCCAGTTGTGGAACTTCCAAAGTAGAAGCGCTTTGTTGCGGCTTGTTTATTTTAAGGAATGTACCTGTTGGCGGAGATGTTGGGGAGTAATAGGAAAAGTGAAATGCTGATGAAATTTGCCAGAGCCGTTTGGGAGCTGCTCTCTGTAGCGGCTGTGCTCTCGGATTTTTTAACCACTTCATCCTTTCTGATGTTGGTCTTTGACTCTTGTCTTTGCGTCAGAAATGTGTTTATTATCAGCCCCGTGAATGTGGCACTGGTCTGGGGCTCTCAAAGATGAGGCACAGTGAAGCATCCCAGCCTTCCCGGGTCAGAGCTTCAGAGCGATGGCGTCATAGTAACGACAGCGGTGGTGGCACTGGTAGTCATGACAATACTCTACCGTGTGCTTCGCACCATGCCAGGCTTCTTCGTGTTTGGAAAAGAAGGGTGGGTGGAGGAGAGCATGAGCTCCAGAACTCATGGCTGGGGTTCAAGCTGAGTCATTTTTAGTTGCTGGCTGTGCTGATCAAGGGTGAGCCATTTCACCCCTCTGTGCCTCAGTTTCCTCATCTGTAAAACGGGGACAGCAAGTGCCCCCACCTCACAGTAACACACATAAAGCGCTGGACGCGACACTTAGTTCATAGAGAGCACCCCGTGAATCCTGTTCATCCTCGATGTGTTTCTGAGTTTCAGAAATGCCCGCAAGGTGGGGGTCACCATCACCATTCCTCCAGGGGAGGCCCAGAGCCTCAGAGGGCCAACTGTCTGGTGATGGTTGGGATGGATTCGAGCCCAGGCCTGCCGCCCTCCAAAGCCCGTGTGCCTTGTGCGTTAAGTGATACTGTGGACACGCGTGTCTACGCGGCAGCCCGACGTGGATGGCGTGCCTTTGCCAGTGTGTGTGCACCCTGACGGTACCGTAACACGTGTGCACACACGCACGGCTGTCCTGTGCTCCCTGGGCCACCCCGAAGATGCCTGGCCGGGTGTTCCACTGCCCGCTGGATGGGCGGGTCTCCCAGCGCTGGGTGGACAGGCACCCAGGTGCGTGAAGCTGGGCCGGCTGCACTCTGGGCCTCGGCCAGGCACCCTCGTTCTCCTCAGAGAGGCAGGCCATTCCGGACGCCGGCCATTTGCAGACCCGGAGGACTGGCATCGGGCCTCCAGCCCAGGAGAGGAAATGGCGGCGGGGCAGGCCCAGGACGGGATCGGGGAAGGCGGCCGAGGGCGGTAGCGGCCGGAAGGCCTGGGGTGGGCGCGTCATCGTGCCGGCACCCTCCTCCGGTGGCAGGGCCAGCCTTCCGTGCAGGTCTGCATGTGTGTGCACACGTGTGTGCGTGCGCCTGCGTGCCAGGCTCGGGCCCCTCAGCCGCACACCCGGGAGCCTGAGCAGGCCGTTCCCCCCACCCCAGGAACATGGCGGGGGCTGGGCGGGAGGTTTGATGAGACGGCGTGAACCCCCAGCCCACCTTTGGGCAAACAAGGCCTCGATAAGGATGGTTCTTACTGCCAGGCCTTGATGCTTCATCTTTAAAGTGGGGCGACAGCGTCGGCTTCGGGGCGCGGTCAGACGCGGCAAGTGGAAGCCTGTCTGGAGGCCGGGCGGCTGGCCTGTTTCGTCCTTCGCTGTGGCCTCGAGGGAAGAGCCCGGAGGCCTGGGCGCCCAGGTGAGCTGCCTGCCCCTCTCGGCCTCGGTTTCCCCGCCCGTGAGGCAGAGGGTAAGTCCTACCCACAGGTTTCTCATGGAGGAAAACGACGTCACCTGCCATTGACGGGAGCAGGTTTGGGGGGTCCGGGAAGAGGGTCCTGCCTTGGGTCCCTGTGACTCTCGGGGGACTCGATGGGACGCAGAAGCCGGGCCCCCTACCCCAGAAGGGAGCCCGGGGGTGGCTCCGGGGGTCCTGGCTGCTGCAGCGTGTGCGCGGGAACCTCTGGCCCAGTTTCTTGGGCGCCGGCCCCGCCCCGGGATTCCTGCGGTGGGTGTGCCCGCGCTTCCGGCCGCCGTGGGCGGAGGGATCCGGGGGGCAGGCGGCCAGTTCCCGCCGTCCCGCCCGCCAGAGCCTCCCAGTTGTGCTGCTTCCTTCAACTCGATGGGACGAGGGGTCCCACCTGAGCCCGCCGCGCCGGGTCCAGGCCAGCGGGCCCCCACCGTGGCGGCCGAGGCCTCCAGCGGCTGCGTAGGGGGCTCAGGGTGTGGAGAGGGTGCCCTGCGGCCGGAGCCTTTGTCACTGCGAACGCGCAGTAGTAAGTCGCCAGCACTTCCGAGGCTCTCGGCACCAGGTGGGTGGGTGGGTGGGTGTGCCTCGAGGGTCTCCGCTTCGGGCCTGGTGCCCCTGCCCGGCCCGTGACCAGTGCCAGCGGCCCGTGACCAATGCCAGCGGGAGGCCCAGGGAAACAACTTCCAGGTGGTGACTCCTGGGCCCGGCAGCGTGGCCGGCCACCACGGCCCCCAGCCTCGGCGGTGCCACGAGGGACAGGCGTGTCCTGCAGTCAGTGTCCAGCTGCCGGGGGAGGGGTGAGTGAGACCGGCTGGGGCAGGACCAGCGGGGGGACCCGAGTGGCAGAAATCCCCTGCCTTGGCCCGCTGGAGAGAGGCGGGGGCCGCGCTCGTCTCCCCCATGGGAGGCCAGCCGGTGTCTGATATTGCAAACAGGACTCGGCTCCCTGGGGTTGCGGGGAGCTGACCTTCGTTGACCTACTAAGTGCTAGGCCCAGGGCTGAGTACTTCTTTTTGTTTTAATTTTTTCTTTATTTTTTTGGCCACACCACGTGGCATGCAGTATCTTAGTTCCCCGACCAGGGATCGAATCTGCGCCCCCTGCAGTGGAAGCGCGGAGTCCCAACCACTGGACCGCCAGGGAGGTCCTCAGGGCCGGGTACTGTAATCATCTCTTTTTAAACATCCATTTTTAAATTTAATCTGCCCAATTCCATTTTGTTTCAACATCCACTCAGAGCCAGCACGTGCCAGCGCTGTTCTGGTGGCGGAATAGGGCACAGACAAGACTCCCGTGTGGAAGGCGGGTGTGAACGGTTCTCTCTCTGAGAAAACCAAGGCTCAGAGAGGCCAAGGAATGTCGCCAGCGTCACACAGCTAGCGGGTGACAGAGCCTGCACCCAAACCCAGGTCCGTGACTGCAAGACCCACACTCTCCCTGCCCCGGCCAGGGAACAGCGCGCACAGGATCCCTCTCACAAATGCTGACCTCGGCGCGTTCTCCCCACAAAGCCATCACCAGGAGCACCTGCCCTCTGGCGTGGAGTTCTGCCCCAAGGGAGAGCCAGGATTTGCCTCCGTCCCTCCCCTCCTGAGGAGCCATAGACTGTGGTGGTTCTGGGGGCCCCCAGGACCCGTCTCTGCCTGGGTTGCTGTTTCTCTAGGGTCTCAGGCCTGCCGGTTGGGCTGACGAAGCCCCCTAGCGCCCTCCAGGCCTCTGTGCTCAGAGTGCTGGCCGGGCGTGGACAGCACGCAGTGTGGCAGCAGGCGATGGGAAGGAGGGAGCCGCGGGTCATCCTTCCTCTCAGTGTTCCTATGGCCCAGGGTGGGAAAGCGTACGAGGTTGTAGGCCCAGGTGACGTCGGAAGCTCTACAGAGGGTTTAACACTCAGACACCAGGAGTCAAACCTTCGGGAGATGCTGTAGAAACCCGAAACAGGCAAGACCATTTTGCAGGCTTGAGCATTCTCAAAACGGTCCTTTCTGCTCTGTGCCAAATCCAGACCCTTCCGTTGTACGGGGAGCCTGCTGTGTAGACCAGGAACCCAGGGGTTTTCTCAGGTTTTTCTCCTGGGGGCTTGTTGCAGGCACCATTCAGCGTCTGAAGGACCCTGACCTCTCTCCCGTGGAGACACACTCAACTTATCTTGGGGTCCGTGGACTGGCCGGGAGTTGGGTGTCATCGGCACCTGGTGAGGTCTGCTCCATGGCCGCGTCCCAGGGTGAGGGGGCTCCCACAGGTAAGGGCAGAACAGGGGTGTCGGGGTGCCGTGTGCAGGGCAGGATAAGCTCTTGTGAAAGCAGCTTTCTGCCGGTGAACAGGCGCCCCATCATGTGTTAGAGACCCCGCCGTCGGTCCCCGTCTGCCCGGCCCCCTGTGTGGTACTCTGTCCCTGATCCTGCAGCTTCCTTGCATTACCATGTGGGTGGCCCAGCGCCCACGTGATTCTCCAGGGCACCCCTCAGAGAGGTTAGGGAGCCAGCTCTGGGCGGCCCCGGCTTGGGGTGCGGGAGGGGACTGGCGGCACTGTCCAGGGACCAGAGGGGGCAGACCTTGTGGGGCGCCGGGCCCCCAGCTGGAGGGCTAGAGCCGTGAGGGCTAGGGTCTGTCCCCAGCTCCCAGGCAGGGAGGCCATCACTCGGCAAACATGGGCGCCCTCCAGGAGGCCCAGGCCCAGGCCGAGATGGTGCGGGTGGGGAACAGACAGTTAGTCTGGAGCGGCCAGTGCGAGTGCCCGAGGAATCCGGGAGGCCCCCTGGAGGTGGCAGACCCGCGGCCCCAGGCTTGTTAGCGAATCCAGCCCCGGGCCTGCCACGTCCCAGGGCCGTGCTGCCAGGCGCCGCCCCTCCCACCGCCCCACGCCAGCCCTGCACAGGCCACATCTGCTGCCGCAGCCCTGCCAGGGCTCCGCCTCCATCCCCATGGAAACCACGGGGGCTGGGGGTCCTGCTGCATTTGGCCCGCTGACTGGTTTCCATTAGAGGCAGCCTGCTTTCCTTGAGACTTGCCCCTGAAGTTCAGGGCTCCTCCCAGGGGTTTCTTCCTGCGTTTACTGAGCGCCGGCCTCTCCTGTGCCAGGGCACCCAGTGGTCTAGGCCTGCCCATCCTGGCTGACATCCCTCAGTGGGGTGAGTGCCCAGAGTCCCACCCAGGGCCGTGGCTGCTCTTGATCTTAACAGGCTGCAGGCTCAGACCTCGTCTCTCCTCACCCAGGACCACTGGCTGCTGAGGCACGGACGCTGCACCTGAGTCAGGGGCCCCGGTCTCCCGTCCCAGCTGTGCCATAGAGTCACTAGGGGACCTTGAATGGGCCCCTCCCCCTCTCCGGGCCTCAGTTTACCCCTCTGTAAAATGAGAGGGTTGAAGTGTTTCTCCAGTTCCTTGCAACGCCACAAAAGGAGAAAGAAAGTGAAGCTGCAGCAACGCCAGCTCTTCTAGAGTCTCAGTTCTGGGATTTTTGTTTTCAAAGACGGATTTTTTTTTTTTTCTTAAAGGAAGGAGCCATGGAATTTGACCGGAGATCAAATTTGAGAGGCCAACAGCCAGCCAGATCCCGCGGACCCACGGTGGGGAAGGCCGGGCTCGGCTGTGGGCGGCTGTGCCTGCCAGGCTCCGCTTGACATGTCGGGTGCCCAGTGACCTGGCTGTGAATGCAGTGAGCAGAGGCATGCACCGTGCCCCCGACGGAATCCAGAGGGCTCTGGAAAACTACCCGAGAGGTTTCCGGAGGTCAGAAATGTGGGCAGAAAATGAGATCCAGCTTTTAAAAAAAAACAAAAAAACCCAGTTGGCTCATCCTCCAGGGAGATCGGGGGCCTGTGAGAGACATGGGGGAACGCCGATGCTCGGTTATCTTTGAAGAGCTCGCCCAGGGCTGATCCGTGGCAGGTGCCGCAGACCCAGCCCGACGCCCTGGTGGAGGTGCCGTCTTCCCCCACTCCTCCTTTCACGGGAGATGACGGGTGACGCTAGGGGACATTTTTGCCCAACCTGCCCAGTGGGTGCTTTGGCTCCTCCCATGAGAACCCTCAGCTCCCACTTGCTTATCGTGAAATGTCACAGATATCGTGGGGGCTGGCTTCTGCTTGGTCCCTGCCACTGCTGTACTGGGGACACTTTGCAGCTTATGACAAGGAGCAGAAGCTCAGGGGCGACAGGCCTTCATAGCAGCAGGGAGTGGTTTGCTGGGTGGTTTGGGCAGATTGCTTTCCTCCCTGGGCCTCCGTTTCCTCAGCTGTAAAACGGGGGTAGTGACACTGACCTGCCGGGTTAGTGTGGAAATTAGGTGAGACTTGGGGTCAAGGCTGGAGACGTGGTAAGTGATGGCGTCAGACTGTGCCCACCCCACATCCCCATCGTGAGTGAAGCAGGCAGCGCATCCCAGGGTGCCGCAGACCCACGGCGGGGCTGACCCTCACCCGGCCCGTCTCCAGGGAAATTGGGGACAGGCTGCCATTTCTCAAGGTCACCTGGAACCCGCTGCTGGAAGGCCCTGGGTAGCCAGCACGATGGATGGTGCTTCCTCTTCCTCATCTGAGCCCAGGGAGCACAAGCCTCCCTGCCGGAGGCCGCCTGGGTTTGCTGGCAGGTTGTGGTGGCAGGAGAAGCGGCCGACGGGCCCTGGGGACATTGTCATTGCAGCTCAAAGGGTAGGCTGGTAGCATCTTCCGTTTTCTGTCCTGGGCAGGAATGGAACTTTGGTCTGAATGACGGCGCCCCGGGAGCCACTGCCTCAGTGCACCCCAGCCCGGCCTCCCCAGTAAAGTAGGCCGAGGGTGTGAGCTCGGAGCAGCAGCCTGCTGCACTGGCTGACGTTGATTTAGACACGGGGAGACTGGGATAATGTAGGAAATGATGGAAGTTTCTCCAGGGAAAGAAGGAAGAGAAGCTTAAGTGCCCAGATAATTATAAAGCCTGGCGTGGTGATTTATGGCGGGCAGGCGGGCTCCCCTGGCCGGCAGCACTGCCCCCTCCCGTCTCAGCCCCTTGTGCCCAGAGACCAGCAGGTGCCATCCAGCACCCAAGTTTGGCCGTGTGTCGCAGGGATGGAGCCCCTTGGTGTGCTGGGCCCCGACGTCGGCTATCGGGGTGATGTCATGGAACTCTGACGTGCCCCCGACCTGGAAAGCTGAGGTCTGGGAGGCTGAGCCCCTCACGCAGCTCTAAATGGTGGCGCCCGAGCCAGGCTAGCCAGTGTCCTAAACCCCAGAACCTTCCCTCTGCCCACAGCTGCATTTGGGGCCTCGGGCGGGCAGGGCCTGGGAGGCGGCCCATTAGAAAGGTGACAGGTCAGAGCAGGGTGGCAGCTATCACTGCTGGTGCCACAGGAGGGGGACAGCCAAGACCACAGAGTTGGGCAGAAGTAAGAAGGTGTGTTTTCTGGCTTGGATCTGGGGCTGCCCTGTAACTAGACGTGAGACTCCAGGCAGGCTGCCTGGACAGTGCACCATTTGGGGCCTGACCTTGGGTGGCTTCCGCTGGGGACTTTCCTCTGCTGTGACCACACCCATCCCCCCCCTAAAATTCCCGGGGGATGTCCCCAACAGCTTCTGACCTGCCCAATCATCCTCGACTCCCCTCCCTGCCACACCCAGACCGTCCCGAGTCCTTCCAGTTCTGCTGTCTTTCAGCATCTCGCCGACGCCCTCCTCCACCCGTTGGACGGTGCCCGTTGTCTTGCCCACCCAGGAATGTGCCCCGTCTCCCATCCTGCAGGCTCCCCTCCAGCTCCTGGCTGCAGTCCAGCCTCCCCTTCATGGGACTCGAGAGGCCCCCAGCAACCTGCCCTCCCCCTTCCACGGCACCATCCCCCGCCTCTTCAGACTGTGACGCAGCATCACCTCCTCCTGGAAGCCCTCCCTGCTCTCCACATGCCCACTGCCCTACAGACCCGTTGCCCTGGGAGACTGGGCGCCTTGAGAAGGACAGGCCAAAAGTACCAGCCCGGCACAGGGCAGGCTCTTGGGGAACATTTCATGAATGAACAAAACAGAATCCAGAGATTGAAACAGAAGAAGAGGAGGCTGTGCACCAACTCCCTGAGTTCCGGGCCGCACGTAAGCCATCAAGTGCGCCACTGCGGCCAGGGGGTCAAGGCGCTTGGAGAAACAAGCGGACAGAGTTTACTTTTCTGCCTTCACCAGATACATTCCCTTTTAGGTCAAATCCGGGGCTTGTGAAACCACACCTTGTCACAAATGGGTATGATGGCGCCGGATGGACAGGCCCAAGCTCTGCACCCTTGTGGCCGGGAGGGTGGACTGCGGGGGTAACGCGGGGCCAAGGGGAACCACGCTTCTTCCTGGGGGTTCCAGCTGGGAAGACCAGCTGGTAGCGGTGCCCATGGGGCTTGTGGGCCTCTTCCCCAAAGATCACTGGGTGTGAAAGGCAGGGGTCCGTCGGCCCATCAGATGTCATCGGTGCGTCTCGGCACATTCTGTTCCGTTAGAGTAGATATTTCCAACTCACAGATATTCTGCCGGGTCCTGCCCCTACGTTGTCACAGCTCACAGGGGTCCCCTTCCTCCAGGGGGTGATGACAAAGTGTGGGGCCCTCTCACCTCCCCGCCCCCGGCAGTGGCTGGTTTCTTCCAGGTCAGCCCTGGGCCTGCAGCCCCTGGGTGGGACCCGCTGCAGCCCTCGTCTTCCCGTCGGTCACCCCCACGGTTTGGTGGTAAACAAGCGTGTTGGTGCCCAGCACCCTCCCAGGGGCCTGGCACCTTTGTCCCGCTATGGAGGGTCGGGAGCAACATCCGTTCAGCCCTTTTAAAAGTGTACCTTGGGGAGATCACTGCTGACCAGCGCGCAGGGGCCTCGGTAGCACCCGCAGCTCTGTCGTCGGCCTGCTGCAAGATCTTGGGCCAGTCTCTCCCCCGCTGTGAGCCGGTTTCCCCACCTGCCGCACCATCTCTGACCTCCACCTGTAACGTCGGGTGGGTCTCTGGGAGGTTCGGAGGGGCCAGGTATGGGGTAGCTGCTTTGGGCGTGTGAGAGTGTTCCTGGGCTTTGAGTTGGGATCCTCTGCCTTGTGAGGAGGTCACATGGTGGCAGGTTCTGTGGCCGTTCAGAAGGGCACCCCAGGGTGGAAGTGCTTCCAGAAGAGCAGAGGCCCCTCCAGGAGGGAGCTTTACTATGTGTTGAGTTTCCACAGAATGCAAAAAAAGATTTGTTGCCTCTTTCTCCTTTTTTCAGTTTTCCGGAATCATGTTAATGAGCGTCTATTCCTTTTGCAACAGAAAAACAAAATTTGAATTACAAAACTAACCACCTGGCCAGAGTGAAACTGACCCGCCCAGATTCTCACTGCATGTCTTCCCCAAAGGAGAGATGTTAACTCGGGGCACAGGCGGTCACAGTGAGGGCAGCACCGTCGTCCTGGTGCATTTTGGCCATTTAAAAGGAGTAGAGGCCACTTAGGGGGAGGCGGTGCTCTGATGTGGGGTGCCCCCCCCCCGCCCCACCAAGAGGCGGGAGGCAGAGCCTGTCCTTACGTCTGGACATCTGGATGCACGTTAGGGATGTTCCGAGTCTGATGCCTGGAAACGAATCTGTAGGGAAAGCGGACCTCTGTTTTGTCGTCACGCTAGAGCCAGGCCGTTATTTTGCCGTTCCAGACACCGCCCTCGTCCATGACAGACCCCATGTAGCGGATGTACGTCTGGCAATGGCTGGCTTTTCCGGAACCGACTTGGCAATCACCCTGGTGTTGGCGGTTGCCTTTTGTGAGGACCTACTGTGTGTGCCGGCCAAGCTCTTGGGAATTCCGTGTTCATTCATTTGCTCTGATGTCAGCTTGAGGCGGTAGGTGTAAACGGCCCCTTTTTAAGATACAAAACTGAGGCTCAGAGAGGCCAGTTTCCTGAAGACCACACAGCCCGGAAGGTTCTCTGTGGCCTGTTCATGGGCTCCTCCCCAGGGCTAGCAGGTCTGCCACTAGAGGCTCTGTCGACTTGAGCTCACCTGCACCCTGGCCGCACTGCCTGCCCTGGTAGCCGTCGGCTCCCCAAGTCCTTACTGGAGCTGTTTTGGCCCAAGTGAAGTGGCAGAGCTGGGGACCTACACCTGGTGTGTGCATCTGGCAACTCAGGGAGGCTGGAGGACGTGGACCAGAGGCTCGCTGGCCGACTTCTGACTCCTCCTGACCCATCTCGGGCCCCTCCGGGGGCTTGGGGGCCCGGCGCAGCATCGCCCAGGGCCAGGTCCCAGCGCTTCCCACGGCATCTCTGCACATACATTGAGGGGTGGTTTCTGCACGATTTGTTAGCAGCTGGCATTTGCAGGGAGAGTGTTTCTCCTACGTGTGACCTCTGAGAGAGGCCAAGTTGAATGCTGAAGACCAGTGTGGACAAGGCAGGACTGAGCCCTCTGGGGGTGCGGGTGGGCTGTGTGCCGTGGGCCTGGGCCCTGAAGCTCGGCTGATACCAGGGTTCCTGCTGGCGGCTCAGAGCCTCCTGCCCGAGGCCCGCGCTCAGGTGTGTCCACGCAGGCCTCAGCCCTGGCAAGTTGGCCAGCTGTCAGACAAGAGGCTGGGAGAAATGTCTCCAGGCACCAGAGTGCAATGACTTGTCTTACGTCCTCGAAGTGCCCTGGGGGGTGGTTGGCAGTGGACGCGACCATCCGCTGAGCCCCACTGTGCGTGGGCACAGCACGTGCGTCGCCTCTCATGACGCGTGTGAATCTGAGGGGTGGCCTCACTGTCCCTTTATTACAGATGAGGAGACTGAGACTCAGAGACGTGAAAGGGCTTGTCCAGGGTCACGGGACAGAGCTGAGATGGGAACCCAGCGGTCTTCAGCCACGCTGTAGATGGACGCAGGAATGTTCCGCAGGGCAGGGGCAAGGAGGGGCCGGGGTGAGGTGGGGGTCAGCCTCCGGGGCATCCTGCTGGGCCCGGTGCTGCTGCCAACAGACTCTGCCAACCTCCCTGGGCCAGAAGCTTCCAGAGGACAGAACCGCCTCTGGTCAAAGAGCCACCAGATGGCCTGGGCCAGCGCTGCCATCCAGGTGGCCACATCATGGGGCACGGGCTGTGAGCAGTGCCGGCACCCGGGTGATTCTGGGGCTGGGAGAAGGGAGCATTGTTATGAGCCAGCCTTGGGTCTGGGACTTTTACTCTTGTCACCTGTAATGTCACAGCCCTACGAGGTGGACAGGCTGTCCCACATCACAGGGTAGGAAACTGGGCCAGAGAGGGCAATCCTGTGCCTGGAGCCACACAGCAAACAGAGGCAGCAGGTGTGGCTGACTCCCCCTCGCTCCCACTCCCCCACAACCTGCCTCATAGATTCTGGAATATGGGAGGCTGCCGTTCGGGGTTCACTAGTGACCCTGAGACAGGCTGAGGCCCCTGGCCACCCAGCACACGATGTGGGCCGGCCCATCGAGAGAGGGCAGGCTTAGGAGGCTCAAGCCGCCCCTCGGGGGCGCGATGCACTCCCAGGAGAGCTTCAGAGGCTCCGAGGGCAGGTGACGCGCCATGTCCGACCGGAGCACGCAGGCATGGGGAGCAGGCCGAGGGCGCTGGTGTTGCCAGGTGCCTCTTTGTGCCAGGTGCCGGACCAGGGAGCCCAGAGGGCACTCAGCCTGGTGGTTCCGTGGTTGCTGTTGGGCACGTGGGTGAAAGGATCCGGGGGCACTGAGTGTCCCGGAGAGAGGGCATCCTGTAAACGCTGCCGTGGGGTCAGACGTGGGGGATGCTCCCTGGCCCCAGCACGGTCCCGTGGCCGGCTGTCCCAGTGAGTTTTCTAGCCATGGCCACGTGTGGCTCCTGTGACTTTCAGGTATCCAGCCAGGGCCCCAGAGCCGCCCCTGCCCCTGCAGCAGGAGCTCCACTCACCCATCAGGATAGAAACCCTGTCCCCGCCGGGTGTGTGCAGCGGGCGTGGGGCAGCCTGCGGAGCAGCCGGCATCCACCTCCCCTTGCTCTCCTCTGCTGAGCGTGGCCTTCTGCTGTTTCCCGTCCCGCAGCTCCTGTGCCCTGGAAGCCTGATTTCTGACGCCAGCGTCAGCTAGAGGAATATCGACCTAGGCTATCTGCAAAAGGGGGGCCTCAGCGGCTGGGCCTGTGGGGTTCAGCGTGCCGCCCACAGTAGTGTCCCTCTTGAGCGCCAGCTGGGCTGTGCTCGCCGTCCAGAGGGAAGAGAGGGGGTGGGAGTGCCGTCGGCTCCCCCGTGCTGTTGGAGGGTCCCTGGTCTGTGGTCTCTCCTGGGTGGGCCCCAGAGCTGTTGCCCCATCGCCCAGGTGAGGTCACTGGAGCTACCCCAGCCCAGGTGCCGCCCCGGAGGGGCCGTCAGAGGGATCCTCACCGGGCAGCGGGGATTTGTTCAGCCCATTGCACTGTCGGGAGAGACAGGGAGGGAGTCCAGCCGTCCAGGCAGGGCTGCGCGGCCTCAAGGCCATCCTTTCTTAATGGGGTGGCGGGGGGGGGGTAGGTGCTCCCCACAACGTAACAAGATGGTGACGTGCTCACCAGAAGCCCGTGCAGGCTCCGTGCGGTGGTGGCAGCCAGGCCTGGGCTGACCTCCTGGCCCCTAGCTTCTCTCGGAACCTGCACAACGCTCTGGGCCGCAGACCTGGTGGTCCCCGTACTATAGTCGGGGAACCTGAGGCCGCGAGAGGCGCTGGGCAGCGTGTATGGGGGAGGCACCCAGAGCTGCGTGACTCGTGGTCCTGAGGCCATGCCACGTGTAGACAGGGTGCAGTGGGCTTCCAGGTTCCCGTCTCCGTTTCCAGAAGGTGGGGTCTTGCTGCCAGCTCGACCCAGCGTCTGGGGCGGGGGGCTCGAGCACATCCTTGGGAAGCCGCCAGCAGGTCCCCTCTAGCCTCTGAGCACCTGACGAGTCCCACGCGTGTCCCAGAGGCCCTGCTGCCGAGGAGGGCGCTGAGCCGCCTGGCGGTACCTGAAGAGACTCAGCCCGACGGCTCCCTGCCCGGCGCCCGCGCAGCTCTCACCCGTCCGCAGGGAGCTCAGCCCTGGTCCCCAGGTGACAGGGGCGCGCTCCTGAGAGGACCGGCGTCTGTGGGAGCCGCACACCTGCGCCTGGGCGCAGGCAGGAGAGCTTGGGGTCACCAGCACGCTCCCGGGGCCTTGGCGCCCGGACCCACCTTCCTCCCGGCCACCCCGTCACACGGGGCCTGGGGCAGAGGCCTGAGAAAGGAGCGGGGCCTGGGTAGCTGCCCTGACTTTCCTGTGAGTCCAGCCGAGGCCCAGCAGAATTCCTGGTCATGGAGGCTCAGACCTCCGTCTGGATTTGCTGTTTTGTTGTCACCGATGACGAGCCATCCCTGCTTTGGGAGAGCCTGTGCGCCTTCGGTGGCCGGAGCCCGGGGCAGGGCTTCTGGGCCTGTGCTTAGCCTTCGGGGCCTTGTGCACGGTTGCTCGGTCCTAGGGTAAGCCCTCACTGGCTCATTCGGGAAAGACCCAGAGTCACGTCTGCACTTTCTGTTCCTAGGTATTGGGCATTGTTCGACGAGCGAATGGGGACGTTTCCATGCCTCCTGGGTGCCGGGCACCGTGCTAGCCCTGAGGGTCACACCGCTGCCTAAGAGGTGGCCCCTGCCGCGGAGCTACCTGCCTGTGGGGAGACGGAGCGCGAGCGTCCATGAGCTGATTTCAAGGGACCCCCAGCCTACCGCTAGAGCTGACCTATGGCTCCTGGTCCAGGAGGCCCCCCTGGGGGGGTGACCTAAAGGATGGGTAGGAATTAGGCCTTTGATGGCAGGCCAACATTCTGGCCCCAGGGAATGGTGGGTGCCAGGGCAGGGCCGGGGTGAAGGGGGCAGGGGTGCCATGAAGAGGCGACCTCGGTCTGCCAGGAGCAGGCGCCTCGAGTCTCGCCAGCCCCCTTCCTCTGCAGACGCTGGAGGTTGTGCGTGGCTGGGCTGCAGGGGAGCCAGCGGTCGGGGTTTGAGTGTAAGTCCAGCACCAGGGGTGGCAGTGGGGCAACCAGACGGTCAGAAGAGGTTTTCTTTGCGGTCCTTCGCCTCTAAGGCCCTTAACCTCTGGGCGCCGAGGCAGCTCGTCGGCAGCATGCAGCAGGCTAGGCCCATCTGCAGGTGCGGCATGAGGGGGTAAATGAGCGGTGTGGGGAGAGGCTGCACTGAGCCCCCCCTCCGTGCTCGGGCCGTGAGCCACCAGATCTGCTGAGCTGACTCCTTGGCCACTTTATTTCTTGCAGAACATGGCTGGTCCCAGAGCACCCCCGAGAAAGTGCACACCTGTCGTGGCCTTCAAAAGACGCTCCAGGACCACACGGCCAGGTGGATGGTGTTTGCCCTGCGTCTGGGTGGTGAGGCAGCCCAGGAGGTGAGCAGCCTGGCCAGGAGGGGAACATGGACCCGGTCTTGGGAGACCCCAGCACCAGCCCCTTCCTCGCAGGCCCCAACCTGCAGCCGGCCGGGCCCACCCTGCCCAGAGTTCCCTAGGGCCGGGCTCGGCCTGGCCCCCGGCAGGTGGAAGAGATCCCACTCCGCCACCAGAAGCGAGGGAGTAGAGCAAAGGATTCCCTGTCCACTCTGGTCCCGCCAAGCCCCGCACCTGCCCTGTGGCCCGATTACGGCGCTGGCCGGCTGGCCTCCTGGATGCAGATGGAATCAGGGAGGCCCCACCCAGTTCATTGGCACAGAGACTCCCCTGAACCAGCTCTGTGCTGTCAGCGCCCACGGCCCCCAGCCCACCTCTGACAAGCTGTCCAGCTGGGTGGGCTTCTTTGGTGCCCTGAGCCTCGGTTTACCCGTCTGTAAGACTTAGGCAGGAATACCTCCTAGCAGAGTTTGGGGGTGCACAGCCTAGAACACCCGTGGCTTCGGTGAGGGCCTGGGGGTGGGACACAGCCTTTGCCCCTGAGAAGCAGCAGGGGTTTATAACCCACCGAAAGACAGAAAACTCCCCAACGTGGCGCTCTCCTGGCCTCCTCTTCCTTCGCCGGAGCTCAGCAGGGCCCGGCCTCATCTATTCCTTACTTTGGGTTTATTGTGCTGGGTGCTGAGTGAGAGGAAGGGGTGGGTCGAGGCAAAGCCAGCTCCTGCCCCATGCAGCATGGGGACTTGCGGCAGCCTCTGCTCCAAGTGGCCAGGGGGCTTTGTTAGCAGCATCTCTGAGGCAGCCAGGAGGGTTTCAGTGGCCCAGGAACCCAGGCCTGCTGTGGCCACGTGGCTTCGGGTCAATTTCACAGGCTTGGGGAGGGCGTGGAGGTGGCCCTGTTAGCAAGGACGCTGACAGAGGTGGCTGAGTAGGGAGAGGCGACCGCTCTGAGGCCTCAGGATCTTAGCAGCTCTACGGGTGGTCGTGGGTCTGTTTGCACATCACCAGGACAGGGTGCCCACCTGCCGGGGGGTATTCCAGACCCCCGAGGTTCTCTGTCAGTGTTACGAAGCGTCTCCTGGGACAGCATCTGAGGGCTCATGGGAATGACCACACTGTAGCAGAAGACTGAGCCACAGCCTAGGGTCAGACTGCCGGGCCCCAGCCTCACCCCACCTTCCCTGCCGTGTGATCGTAGGGAAGCCATGGCCCCTGCCTGGGGTTCTGTTTTCTCATTTGCAAAAAGGGTGTCCCTACTTCTCCCTGCCTCCTTACCAGACACCAAAAGCAGAAGGGGATGCCAAACCTGGCTGAGAAGCGGGGGTCTGGCTCGGGGCCAGTACAGCCCACCACTTGCAGAGATGAAGCCTGCTACGCACACGGCCCTCACCAGTCGTATAGGCAGGGAGGGGACTAAGGCGTTATTTGTTTTCTTTTTTGTTTATGTCATGCCACATTAGAAATATATATGTGAAGCGGCTTAGAGCAACGTTGACAATGCAGAAGGGTAAAAATAAACAGCCGAGGAAATTGGGGCAAAGGGAAAACCGCAGGTAGGCCTAGAGAATCCGTGTCATGTAGGCACCTCCCAGTTCTGTCAGTTCAGCTCTGAGCTTCCTAGCAGCCAAAGCAAAGAGGGAAAGACTGTCCCTTGCAGGAAGTGCTGTTTAGGGAGTCCTGTCTCAGCACAGTGATGCTGAGAGAGAGCTGCCTGGTGCAGACACTCAGGGTTACCCCAGAGGCCCCAGTGAGGCCGGGCAGAAAGAGAGGGAGGGAACTCCCTCATGCTCAGCACAGCTGCACCCCTCCATCAGCCTGAGCATCTCACACCTTGTTTCGTTTAGTTCTCCCAAACCCTAGAAACCTAGGTTGAGAGAGCGGCAGTGAGGACCCCCAGCCCTCTCTGAGCCTGACTTTGACCTTGTGTCTCTCCATCCCCCAGATCTACATTCTTGCAGCCACACCTGCTGCCCCTTGGAGAAGGTGACCCCAGAAAACCAGGGTGTTTCAGCCCCAGTGTTTTGGGCACAAAGTCACATTGATGCAATGGTCTCCTGGCCGGTAACGTCCCCCTGCGAGGCTCTGAGTGACCCCTGAGCTGTGCTGGGCCTCGTGGAGTCTTAGGGCAGGGTGGGCCAGAGCCAGCAGGGTACAGATGCAGGGCGTGCACCCCGCACATACCCGGGGGCTGCTTCCCAAGACTTACCCAGCACCTCTCTCTGCTCCCAGGTCTCACCCCTTCTTCCCGGCACCCTGGTCCCTGGCTGACATCTGGAGCTTGGACGACCGTGCCACCCTCAGGTCAGCGCAGCGTTTCGGATGTTGAAAACCAGAGCTCCCCACCCCCTCCCTCCAGACGCCACCCTGGGCTGGGCATGCCTGAAAGGACACACGCACGTGTGTCTCACACGCATGTGCGCACACGCCCACACGGCCTCTGGAGGATCGCTGGGTGGGTACTTCTCGCACATTTGCTCAGGCTCAGCTGCGGGCGCTCCCCCCGCGGCTCTGCCCTCCCACCAGCCTCTTTCTGCGGTCAAAGGACCAGGGTCAGTAAGGAGTCAGGGGCTCGCCCAGGTCTCACCCCAGGAAGCTGGACCCGTGACGTCTTCCCGGCTCCCCCTGCACATAAGTTGAACGGAGCCCCCTTTGCAAGGAGGCAGCCATCACAGGGCTCCGTGGTGGGAGGGCTTGGGCCAAGCGCTGGGGACCAGTGACTACCGGGCAGAGCTCAGGAGCTCGGCAGGTGAGGAGGTCCCAGCCTGCCCCTCCGCCTCGTGCCCTGATGGGGCTGCGGTGCTCAGAGTCTGCTGGGCCCCCCGCCCCCAAGCGCCAGCCTGCCGTGCAGACTGTCAGGCCCACTTGGCTGCTTGCAGCCTCCTGGGGAGTCTGTGGGGCCGTGAGGGTCGGGGCCAGACTGGCGGCGTCTCCCTCCCCCCTGTTGCCATGGCCAGGGGCAGACCTGCCTCCCAGGGCTGTGTGGAGAGGACCCGGGACCCCTCTGCCATCTGGGTCTCATGTGTTTACAGGTCCAGCTTGCCCGCCAGACTCGGCAGACACCGCCCCAGGGCTTTTGTGTCTGCACGCAGGGCATGCGCCAGCCGGTGCCCGAGGGTGGGGTGGGACGCGGGTAGGGAGGGGGGAGGTCCCCCCGGGGACATCAGGGACAGAGGGGAAAGGGGGACATGAAGGGGTATAGCATGGGAAAGGAAGAACAGAGCAGAGGCAGAGAGCAGGGCTGGGCACAGGGAGAAAGGAGACCCAGCAGAGACTGACCGCGCGGCTGTGTCTGGGAAGACAGGGCCTTCCGGGCTTTGCTCAAGGCCGTCTAGCGCAGGTGCTTTTCTCGGCACCCGCCGGGAGATCCCCTCAACGTCCCACGGGCAGCGGCAGCCTCCTGGGTCCAGATGAAACGTAGGCACTGAGAGGTGCATCCCTCACACAGGCTCGGGCACCCGAGTGTGAACCGGGGACCGAGCCCCAGGCCCTGACGGACACACGCAGGAGGGCACGTCCCCAGGAGTGGGGAGGGGCTCCCGGGCCAGGGCGCTGGTGGCTGTGTGAAGTGGCCGAGGTCCAGGACATACCGTGCGACGGATGGGAGATGGGGCCGGTGCGCACAGTTGGGGCTCACTCAGTGCTCGTCCAGCGCCTGAGGAACCACCAGGACGACCACACAGCCCGGTCACCACGAGGACGAGCGCGTGCCCAGGGCTGGCGGGGAGGGCTGCCCCCTCCATGTGTGCACACCCTCCTCGTTCCGCCTGGGACCATCCTGTGCACCCAGAAATGGGAGCTCGGGGGCTGGGAGCAGCCCAGCTCCGGCCTCATCTGGGGTTCTGGAGGTTCTTTGGGGGCCAGGCGAGCCCTTTGGGCTGCTGGCTTGGGCTGGGGGAGCAGTGAAGGGTTAGGGGGACAGTGACTCACTTGGCGGGGGTTGTTTTTGCACCGACTCGTAATTGTTCTCCTGTGAGTCTGCCCGGACTCGGCCCAGCACGGGAGAGGTCTGGGCCTGGGCGGCGCCCCAGCCTCTTTCCCTGCCCCGGTGCCCTGGTGCCTCACCCACTTTGGGCAGCAGACGGGAGCCACGTGTGCCCAGTCAGCAACCCGTGCTGGCCAGTTTTCTGAAGGGAATTGTCCCTGTCCTCCCTGACGCCCTGGGTTCCTGGGATAGAGGCTACCCCGTTCGTTCTTTAGGAGTTGGCGCGAATGTGGGTTCACGGGAAATCAAGGCTTGGGCGGTGGGCCCCCATCGCCCCATGGCAGAGCCACGTTCAGAAGCTGTATCTGCTGGGCCTAATACGGCCCCGTGTGTAGGGCCAGAGCCTGGAGAAGGGGCCCCACAGCGATGCCAAGACGTGACCCCCATCTGCTCTGCAGATGCACACGTGGTACCTAATCTTTTCACCCGTGGACAAAGGGGGCCTCCAAGCCTAAGGGGCAGGAGTTTGTTCTAACATCAAACATCCAAGTGTCCTTTATTTAACCAGACAGAAAAATTAAGGCCCTAAATACCTGGCACTTGGTCTTTTTTGTTCCCGGTGAAGACACTGACAAAACGCAGAAGGCCGGCTTCCGCTCAGGTCTTAGCTGTTGGCGCTGAGCAGTGCTCTCTGGCTGGGTGCAGTGGACCCCGGACGGGAGGAGGACAGGGGCAGGGATGCCCACCCTGAAAGCCACACCTGGACCAGGTGACTTGGATTTGTTGGCTCTTGTGAAGCACTTTCTGTCCTGTGGGCCGGGCCCCGAGCCCACGCTCTTCCCGCACAGGTCAGTCTTCACGACAGCCCTGCCAACGGGCATCTTTCAGTGCCACTTTCCTATGGGGGCTGAGGCTCAGGGAGGTCAAGGGCCAGCCCCGGGCCACTGAGCCAGGAGCGAGCTCCCCAGCAGGGGAGGTGGAAACACCTCCGGGCTCTGGGAATGCGTGGCGTCCCCGAGGTGTCGGGGCTGCCACACATCCTGAGAGGCCGTTTTCCTGGGGGGCAGGCTGAGCGGGGGCTGGGGGAGGGCTGGGATGGCCCCTGGCGTGGACTAGAGGGTTTATAAGGGGTCTCCCTGCTGGAGTGAAGCCAAGAGGCCCTCAGACCCAGCGACGCCGGGGCTGCTGCCCGTGCAGCCCGGGTTTCCTGCCCCGGCCTGAGCTCAGCTGGGTACTTGCCTTCAGACGTTTCCCCTGTCAGAGGCCTTGTTCCCCCGAAGCTCAGCTGTGTCCAGCCCTGGCTGGGGAAAGAGCAGGCTCCCACTCTGTCCCCCGGGCCCGGCTCTGAGCTGCCCTTCTCCAAGAACACGGTGGCCGCTCAGCCTGGCTGGCCTGGGAGAACTGGGGAGCCAGAAGGCCCTTGGCCGTTCACCCTGAGGAAGGGAAATTGAGTGTCTCAGGTGGGGGCTCCCTGGGGTTACCCAGGACAGGGGGCTCTGCTCTCTCCTGGTAGCTCCGTGACCTCAGGCAGGTAGGTGGAGACGTCTCTGGGTCTTCGTTCCCTCATTCCTGTAACGCCAGGCAGGCGGACGATGGCTGTGCTGGCGGTGTGACTGTGGGGAAATAACTTAGCCTCTCTGTGTTCATCCCCTCACCCCCAGATCAGGTTGTAACGAGGACTGACGGAGCTACCCAGTGCGATGGGCTTGGGTCAGTGCGTGGAGCGTTCCGGGGGACAGGGTGTTTGCCCTTCCCCGGTTTCCGACGGGGAGTGTGTGCCCCAGGAAGTGCTACTATGTGTATTTGCAGCAGTATCGGGCCAACAGGGATTCGAACCCCGAGCCCTGTGGCTGGGATGCTCGCTCTTCCCCACTGAGCTCCCCACCCCCGTGGGGCAGCCCGCAAGGAGCAGCCACTCCTGGGAGAGGTCTTCGGTGAGGACGGTTGTTTGGTTCATGCCTGGGGAGTTTTCAGTACAGCTGTGGTCACACAAGCGAGGGGGACAGTGGCTCCAGCGCTCCGTGCCACGCTGAGTCACCAAGGCTCCCCCACCCTAATTCCACTGTCTTGTTCCTTGACCCAGGCCCCGCACCGGCTCCTGACCTGCCCGTCTCCGTCAGAGCGCAAGGCCCAGCTGTGCCCCGCGGTGCGTGAGTAGCATCTCCGCTGACGGTTGCTTTTCGAGGGCCCCACTGCTGCCCGCGGCCTGGGTCTGTGCACGGCGACCCCCTGGGCCTGTCTACCCGTCTTTCAAGTGGGATTGGTCTCGATCCTGGGTTTTCGCCCTGCACAGGCTGGGAGGGATGGCCGTGGCTGGACCCAGAGCGTTGCCTCTGGTCTCCGCCTTACATCTGGGGTTCTGAGTGAGATGCTGTCTGCTGGGGCCGTGCGGAGGGGGCTCCCCAGAGGGGGTGTGAGGCATGCAAGCAGGACAGGAGTCTTGAGGCTTGGGAAGTGGCCGGTGCTGCAGGGGGTCGGGAAGGCCCTGGCCCTGCATCCCTGGGGTGGGTCTTCCCCGTGTCCCTCGGCAGCCGCCCCTGTGCCCCCTGCACTGGACAGGAAGGAGGTGCCGGCCTGGACCATGGGGTGGGCTGTGCTGGGACGGCCCCAGAACACAGGACGGCGCCTCGGGCCACCTGGTCGAGGCTGCCCCGCTCTCAGGCCAGCGAGGACACATACCCCGTCAGTCAGGAGGGCATCAGGGCCGGTGTCTCAGACATAAGCCTTCCCAGGGACCGCCCGGAGCCCCCCGAAGGGCTGACAGGGCTTCTGGCAGCGGGGTGATTGGCAGCTCGGGCGCGAGGACGGTTCTGAAGAGGGTGCTGCCTGTGCCTCTCCCTGGCCCGGCCCTCCAGGCGGGGCTGCTTCCCAGGTGGACTTCCTCATCCTGCCAGGCCGACCTGCCCGCCTCGCCGCCTTTGTCTTCCCGGCACCATCCGCCCTCTTGTGTGTGAGGCTGAGGCCCGGCGCAGGGAGGGGACCGCTGCCCTCTGGCCCCGCGCGGCCTTGGCCGTGGCCACCCCGGGCTTGGCACCCGCCGACGTCTCGATGAGGCGTCTGGGAACCCCGACCCTGCTGCCCCAGACCTCCCCGCTGCAGACCATCCCCAGGAGAGCTGTTGTGAAAGCCGCACCCCCGGAGGGAGTCCCTGGCGGCCGGTGTGGACAGTTCTAGAAATGACGGGGCGGGGGGAGTGGACCCCCGGACACGCCGCGCACGGAGGCAGCCCCGGGCCTCTGCCGGCCTTCTCACCCCCTTTCCTGCCTGAGGGCCTCGGGACTCCGGGCCGGGCTCCGGGGCTCCCGGTGTTCAGTCGGGCTTCCAGTGCCCCCTGTCTTTAGGAAGCAGGGGCGGGGGCTTCCTGGGGGAGGCGAGCTCCCTGAGGAGCGAGGCGAGGCGGCGGCGCTCTGCAGCTGCGCTTCCCCTGGGGCCTGGGCCGCAGAGCGGGGTGAGCCTCAACGCCCCCGCAGACCAGACCCTGCGACCTCAGGCCCCCAGAGCGCTGGCCAGGCCGGGAGCACCGGCGCCTCCATCAGCGCGGAGCCCTCTGCCTCCTGCCGCGCCCGACAGCTCCCGGCGATCGGCGCGCGGAGCAGCCCCGGGGCGTCCAGGGAGTCCTGGCTGCAGGACCTGGAGGGCGGTCGAGAGGAGACGCCACTGCCCCAGGAGCCAGCCCAGGGCAGGGCCCCGGCGGCCGTGGCAGGTGGACGGGGAGCCGCCGGCGCCAGCGCTCGCCAGCAGGACCCCGCGACAAGGTCCTCCGAGGGCCGCCCGTGTGCTCTCTGGAGGAGGTTCACGGAAACGTCCGCGTAAAGAAGCAGGGGTTTTGAGGAAAGTGCGTGGTTTCACAGGGACTGTGCCGGTTTCTCTGGCAGCATGGGGCGTGCCAGGTGGACTGAGGGCAAGTTCTGCCCTGTGTTCTCTGGGTGACCAAGGTCAGGTCCTCGCTGGACAGCACACATGTAGAAGAGCGCACAGTAGGGCCTCAGGAGCGGCGGGGCGGCTTCCCCAGACACCTATGGCCCAGCCAAGCCTTCCAGGCTGGGACAGTCACGGGACGAGGCCCAGGTTTTTCCCGGACAGCCTCGCCTCTCTCAGTTCCCGGAGAGAACATTCCGTCACCAGGAAGTGGGGTTTGCTCAGCTCCCCCGTCCCGGCCCGGGGAAACCCAGCCAAGGACGGGATGGTGTAATGCCCAGACCAGAGCCACGGGTCCACATGCCAGGCCAGGCCCAGAGCCCCCCGGGGGGCCCGGGAGCCCCGCAGCAGAAGGGCCCTCCTGAGGGGCTGCTGCCAGGTGGGGCTGCCCCAGAACACGGTCTCACACCGGGCGTTTTTAATGACGTGGTTGCAGTTGGCCCCCCGTCTCCCTCCCTCTCCTCTCGCCTCGTGACCCAGAATGCGGCTTGAACTGAGGATACTTTCAGATGAATACACGCCTTTGAGGCTAAAACTGTGCCTAATGGTTAAGCAGCAGATGGAGACACCCACAGGCTCAGAAAGGGCTCTGCCTGCTGGCTCTTCCCTCTGGACTCTGAGCAAGCCCTGCCGCGGTGAAGAGCAGCTTCTCCTGGTGATCCCCCCCTCCCCCCACCTGGCGCAGAGGCACCTGGACCTTCCCCCCGACAGCCCTGGCATCCTTGCCCTACTTTACAGAGGAAGCGGCGGAGGCCAGAGGTGCTGATTAACTTTGCCCGAGGCCCATCGCTGGCTGGGGCCAAAGCAGGGGTCAGAACTATGGCCTGGCAGCCCCCAGAACCATCTATCCCCACCCCCACCCCATGCCCATGGCCCCCATGGGTGCAGGTATGTCTGTAGAGCAGGGCTGGATCCCGTTGCCTGGGCCATCCGGGCCTCCCCGGCCAGCACCAGGCCCCCAGCTTCCTGGATGCTAGGACTCTTGTGGGCTTTCAGACTCACACATCTGTGGGCAGTGACACTCGGCCCCCGGTACGTGTCTGGCCCCTTTCCTGGGGAGTGGACATTTCCCATGCCTGGCCACCTTCCACCTATGAGCTTGGAGCTCTCTGGGGACAGGAGAGCAGGGAGCCAGGGGCGGGGCACAGACTCCCGGGATGGGAGACCCCGACCCAGAGCACACAGGCGTCTGTCTCGGGGAGGCTGGGCAGGAAGGGAACCAACAAGAGAGCACCTTGGGCCCCTGGGAAAGAAGGCAGGCCTGGGGTGGACCCCAGGGGGCTGGCGCAGGGGTTCCTGTCTGGAGGCACCACTTCCCCACCTGCGTGGCCTGCGCCGCCTAGAGGTGTGCAGGGCCATGGGAAGAGCCTGGGGTCAGAAATCCGGCTTCCAGTTCTAGTTTTGCTCCTCTGTCCCTGAGGGGCGCTCTTGGGGGCAATGAAGCCACTGGGCCCCGTGCTCAGCTGAGCTGTTGGAACCTGAGGCAAAAGGAGGACTTAGTAACCATCCGTTGTGCCCTTATTTAAGTTTGATATCCTTATATCATGGGCCTTTTTGCATTTTTAAAAAATTTTGTATTGAAACCTTTGTCTTGATTCCTGAGTTTTGGTGCCCCATTCAGTGTGTGCCCGGCCGTGCCCGGCCCTGCCCAGCGCATGATGGGCGCACAGCCCCTGCCCGGCCGGAGCTGGCCTCTGCCCGGTGCGCACATCTCGTTAACTTTATGGGCCGTGTTCGCACGGAGACCCGGCCCCCGGATGCCACCCCCGTGCCTTTTTTCCCAGACTCCATTGTTGGCACGGCTTGCCGAGCAGACACACTGGCCGCTTTATGGGGAGAAACCTAATCGGGGCAGCAGTGGGGGGGCGGCCATGGGGGGGTCCCGGCTCCCGGTGGCCCCAAGCCAAGCCCGAGGTGACTGCAGGGTGACACCGTCTGTCTGCCTCGCTCGCTCCAGACATCCGCCTGGCCCTGAAAAGGCCACCTGCCCACTGAGGCCTCCCACACACCTGTCCCCGGCTGGCCTGGCTCCTCCCAGCCCGGGCCTGCCCGGCGCCCTGCCCACAGGCAGACACTGGGGACTGGGGCTGAGCCGGCGGTGGCAGATGGCAGGGCGGCTACCGACTGCCCGCTCCCCGCAGCCCTGCTCAGGGAGCCTCTTCACGCCGCATTGCCTGCTCCTGCCACCGCCCCGTCCAGGCTGACTGGGAAGGGTCCCTTTGGAGCTCTCAGACCCCTGCCATCCCGCCGGAAGAAGGGAGGTCTCTGCCGTCCCTCCCTGGGCCAAGACCCGTGGTCGCTTCTAGGACCGTGGGGCAGGAGGGCCAGCAAATCACGTCCCCTGGCACGTGGGATTGGGGCCACTTCCCAGCTCAGAAATGTCTCCACGATCAGGTCACAGACCCAGAAATGTCAGGGCTCCTTCGTCCCCCCAAACCTGGGTTGCTGGCTAAAGGAAGAGCCAGCTTGTGTGGGAGCTGTGCCTTGGTGGATAAAGCCAGAGTTCAGGGGACCCTGCTGGGGGTACGGTATCTGCCGCCTGGTCACCTGGATAGGCTGTGAATGTGTAGCAGCCCGCCTGGCCCTCATGGAGGGAGAAAGTCCCCACCGTCCGTGGGCACCTTCACGGGCACCGCTCACGTCAGCTACACGGCTGCCGTGGGTCTGGGTGTCCAGGCGTGAGGCCTGGAGCCTAGGAGCGCAAGGCCCAGTCCCAGAACCAGGGCAGAGCTAGGATTCGTCTGGGCACCACTGCCCTCCCGATGGGCAGTAAGAGACAGGCACGTGTGTGGGGAGCACAGGGTCTTCATGGCAAGGAGAGGAACAATGGGACGGTCCCTCCTGGCACAGGACAGGCCAGGGCAAGGGCCGAGAGGTGCGGGGAGCGGGGGGCTGGCAGACGGGTGGGGAGGGTGGGGGAGGGCTGCCCAGGGCATTTTCCTGCTCTGGGAGGCTGGAGGGGGACGTGAGGGGAGCCAGGCTGGGCGGGGCGCAGAGGCACGGCAGCACAGAGACGTGAGCCCTGGCGTTGGACAGTCTGGCCTCTGGAGCGCTGAGGGAGAGGGGCCAGGACAGGACCACCGCAGCCAGATGGGCTAATCTTCCCGTCCCTGTTAGTGGCCGGGAACACTGAGACTCAGTGGTTGGCCCGTGGCAGGGATGGACAGACCCAACTAGGTCTGGCTCCAAGTCCAGCGTCTCGGGCTCAGCCTCAGAGGCTCTGCAGCTGGCCAGCAGGCCGGCTGTGTGCTCGTGTTACACCTGTGTCCCTTCCCTTGTGCTGGTCCCGGGAGGGCACCTGGCCGGAATGGGCCGGAGCCAGGTGGGGTTGCAATTCACTGAGTGAGCCCTGGCTGAGGCCTCAGAGACTGGGTCCTGGGCGCCCCTTCCCCGGGGCTTCTGCTCTTGGGACGATCCCAGACCTCGCTTGCCCCGGGGCAGGAGCGTCAGCCTGTCGGGGGCCTCCGCTGTGAAGTGGGGGGTCTGGCTCCTCCTCCCGGGTCCCTCTAAGTGCCAGGTGCACAGGAGGTGGGCACACGTCCCTTCTCCCCTGGGCGCCCCACCCTCCAGGCCCCAGAGCGTCGGTGTGAGCCTGCTGGGGCGCTGGCCACCCAGCACGGGAACGCCGGCGGCCCTGGCCGTTGCAAGGACAAGGCCTGGGTCTTGTTCACCTCTGACCCAGCATCGTCCAGCACAGGCAGCCACAGAGGCCGTTCTCTCCGGGCCTCTGCACAGGGTGTGTCCCCAGGCGAGAGGCCGTGGTGAGACAGGCTGGGCTGAAATGCGGGACCTGAAGCAGGCGGCCAGGCGAGTCCATGAAGGAGGCACGGAGCGGCCGCTGGAGGGGCATAGCTGCGGCTCTTCCAAACCTGACGCCTGTGACTTTCTTCTAAACCCCAAACAGGTCAAGAAGTGGCACTGAGATGGGAGCTTCTATCCGAGGCCAGCCTTACTCAATGGTGAGCCGAACGTTAGGGCGGGGCCGTCCCCGCTCGCGGGGGCACCTCACGGCTGTCCCACTCTTCCCAGCCCAGCCAGAGCCCACAGGAGGCCTCGCCCTGGGCCCTCGTGCAGGAGACAGGCCCACCCCTGGCCTCGGTGTGGGTGCACGGCCACTCCTGCTGAATGCCCAGAGGACTGTCACAGGACACAGGACAGCACAGGTGACATCTGCGCTGCACACCCTTCCCACCATCCTTTCTCTGGGAAGTAGGGAGTCATGGGGGAGCTTGTAGTGGGGAGGGATGTGGTCAGAGCTGTGTCCCACGATGCACTTGTGACCTCAGGCTGGACGTGGCCTGAAGGAGCCGTAGTCTGCTGCAGGGTGTCTGCATGGAAGAGGAACGCGGACCCCGCCTCCCTGTGCACTGCGAGGGCCCGTCGCCCCCTTTTCTCCAGCCCTCCGCTGTGATCCTAATACACAGGCTGCTGATATCGACCTGAGACGCACACGGGTGAGTCTGGCCTGGAACAGAAAGGCTGAATGAGGGGAACCAGTCACATCTGCTTCTCCCAGGCTGGGCTGGGGGTCGGGGTGCTTGTGTTGACAGCCAGGGAGGACCGGGTGTGTGTGTGTGTGTGTGTGTGTGTGTGTGTGTGTGTGTGTGTGTGCCAGTCAGTCTCCCCCCTCTCTTTCCCTGCCTCTCCCTACCCCGTGGAGCCCAGCCCGGGGCTGGGCTGGGTCCCTCGTGGAGTCAGCACTGCGGGCTCTGGAGCTGAAGCCCCGGCCCAGGGGAGGGCAGGCGCGTCTGAGTAGTGGCACACGCGTGGGTTCCAGCCCAGTGTTAACTACTGGCGGCCTGGCAGCCACTCGGATCCCCTGGGAGCAGTTGCTGCAGGGACCCCGCCTCTCAGTGACGAGGTCCAGGCCCACGAGGGCAGAAGAGACGTCGGAGAAGCACGGCGGGGAGGCCGGCCCGGCTTCGCAGCCAGCTCCACTTGCTGGGCTGTCCTGCCCCGTGCCGCCCTCAGCCTGCTAGGGCCAGCGGTCGGAGCCAGGTGGCCCCTGCAGCCTGAGGCCGTTGGGGGTCTCGGGGGCTAAGTTGGGAGCCAGAGCCCGCGCTCAGGGGCCTCCTCAGGGTCACTCCGAGACATTCGGCAGCACCCTGGGCTGGGCGCCGTGTCCTCGGCCTCCCCAGCGATGAGGCTCACGGCAGCCGCTCACCCCACGGGGCGGCTGCACCAGGCTGCCCATCCACAAACACAGCCAGAAGCTGCCTGCCTGGACCACACATCGTTGCCAGGATGGGAGTGCGTCTAAGGAAGGCCCTTGGTCACCCTCTCCTCGCCCCCCGTCCTAGAGGCTGGCTGGCTCTGCCTGGAGAGTCCTTAGGGACACCCTGGTCCTGTCCACCAGCCAAGGAGTCCAAGTGGAGGCCGGGAGACGGGACCTCGAGGCCCTCTCATGAAGATTTCCTTCTGGGGCCTCAAGGAAAGACAGGGTTGCCAGTGAGCACAGGCCAGCCAGGTCTTGGGGGGCAGGCTGCGTTGGGGTGTTGCTGGCCCAACTCCCAGGTGACTGCACCTCAGTGTCCCGCGCTAGGTGTGGGCCCTGGTGCCCTCACCACTAGTGGAGGGTTCTGGGACCATTTCGTGCCCCTCGGGGTTCAGGGAGCAGCAGCTGCCCTGTTTACTGGGACTGGGCACGAGGCCCCCTCTGCAGTAGTGGGCGAGGCCACGCCGGGGAGAGCCCGAGGGCAAGCCCTGCCCCCTGCCTGGGACCCATCCGAGCCTCAGCTTCCTCGCTACGAAATGGCATCGGTGATCCTGGCTTCACCAGGCCTGTGAAGACCAAATGGCACAGACCAGCCTTTCCTGGGAGCCAGGTTCCCTTTTGGAAAGTAAGAATATTCTGTAGCCTCTCCTGAGATGGGAAAAGCCCAGGTCACCCTGGATGGTGGGACCAGACCAACCAGAGCCCACGGGGAGGGAGTCCACACCTGTCCAGTGGGTGGAGGTGTGTCCTGGGGCAGCAGGGAGCCAGGGGTGGGCGGTGCCGTCAGAGGTGGGGGCCAGGTGGGCATGCGTAGCCCCTTTTGGACATGGGTTGGCCTCTAACAGATGACAGCCTGCCTCCCAGTGTCACTGGTGCAGGAGAAGTCCCTTGGGGACACCATGGTCACTCCTATCCACTCCTATCCAGATGGGAGTGATCCCATCACCTGTAGCGCTTTTCCAAAAGCCACATCGCACGTTTCCCTCCCTCCCTCTCTTCCCTCTTTCCTTCTCCCTCCCTGGTTGGTGGTTGTCTCCTGTGGGGCTGCTCCCAGGGTATGCGGGCCCTCTACTGACCCGCCTGCCAGTCCCCGTGCCCTCAGCGCCCCAGCACAACCCTGACCCCCATCCCCCTTATGCTCCCCTCCTTCCCCCTCCAGGAGATGCCTCTGGGAGCCACGATGTCCCTCCAGGTGCCGAGACTGACGGCCCTTTGGGGTGAGGTAGTAGGTTGTATAGTTTGGGGCTCTGCCCTGCTATGGGATAACTATACAATCTACTGTCTTTCCTGAAGTGGCTGTAATATCGACAGTGGACAGCATCCAGGACCCTGGCTGCTGGATGGGGGTGCGGTGGGCAGGGTGGGGGGTGGGGACGCAGCCTCAGCAGGGTGGGTGCAGTGGCTGCCGGGTGGTAAGTCTGACAGGCCTAGGTTCCACTTGCTGTGTGACCTGGGGCGGGTCCCTTGACCTCTCTGGGCTTCAGTTTCCTTATCTGTGAAAGGGGGCAGATGAGGGTTGAGCGCAGTACCGTGTGAAGTGTCCAAGGAGGGCAGGGCTCAGAGTCGACCTTTCCCTCTCCCCACGCTGCGCTGAGAGCTGATGGACCCGACGAGCAGTTTGGGCAGCCCACCCCTCCCCCGTCCACATCCCCGTGCCCCACATCAGGCTCTTGGGCAGCCCCCAGCCTGGACTTTGCCCTCAGATGCATCCCTGTGGCCGGCACTGGGCACCGGGATGAGTAGCCTTGGGCCCGAGGAGGACCAGGCCAGCTGAGGCTTGGCTGGCGTTGCAGCACAGCACCCCAGGGCAGTCCACGGGGTCGGCCTCGATCAGCACGTCCCCCGAGTCCACAGCCTGCCCAGCTCAGCGTCAGGCCTCTGGTCAGCGGAGGGACAGAGGCCAGGGCTCCCCTCTCCCAGGCAGGGAGTGAGAGGAATGTCCTCGAGCCCACGGCAGCCCTCGTGGGCACGAGCCCGTTCCACCCCCAGCAAGCGCAGGTGGACTGGCCAGCGTGGGGACCAAGCCGCCGTCTGCACGTCCCTCCTCCCCTGCGCCTGCCCAGCCCTCCAGCTCGGCTCTGGTGGCTGCAGACCACCAGGAGGGGCTGGGGCTGGGCCGGGGGCAGCGGCAGGACGGCGGACCCTCCCAAACCCGGGCACCGGCGGGGTGAGGTAGTAGGTTGTGTGGTTTCAGGGCAGTGATGTTGCCCCCTCGGAAGATAACTATACAACCTACTGCCTTCCCTGAGGGGCCCAGCGTCGTCCCACGGGAGGGCCGCCCCCGCGCTCTGCAGGGGACTCGGCAGATGACTTGGGGGCCTGAGCCCAGGCCAGGCGGGTGGGAGGCCGCCCTGTGCACACTCAGATCTCAATAAAAGTTGCTGTCATGGGAATCTGGAGTCTGCCCCTGTTTGTTCTGGGAGCCCAGGGGCGGGGCGTCTGCCGCCTGCCGTGGGCGGTGTGGGCGTGGCCTGATGGGGGAGCTGCCTCTGGGCCACTGGGGGTCACCGGACCCTAGTCTGCCGCCCCCACAGCCTTCGGGTCTTCCTGATGGATTCAGTCCTGGACCCCGGACCCCTGCGCAGCCTGCACCCCACTCACAGCCGCTTTGAGCACAGCTGTGGGACCCAGGCCCCAGAGGCGTCACTCGGCCCGCACAGGCCCCCTTGCAGGTGGCGCGGACCCAGTCAGCAGCTCAGAACACAGTCCAGGGCCCGGTCCCCGAGGCCACCCCAGAGCCAGTGCTTGACTGGGGCCCGGAAGTTCCCGTCTGCCACGCCCAGCCCCCTTAGGCCAGTGTCCGGGGTAGCCCTTATGTCGGGTGTCCATTCTGGGCTGACTGCCATCCCAAGTGTTCACTCACGTTTCTGTCGGGGGTCTTAGGCTCTCGTGCCGCTGGCTGCTGAAGCCTGTCCCCACAGTCACAGCCTGGGTGTCAGAAGAGACCCGTCCGTGTCTGACCCAGCGCCCAGAGCACCCTCCGGGGGAGGTGCTCCCACGGCTGCGTCCGATCCCCGTCCCTGTGCCCACAGAGCGCAATGAGGTGCCATCTGCCCCAGCTGGAGCAGCCCCCCGTCACCCCACAAGCCGCTGCAGAAGAGAACTCCAGGCTGGCTCTTGCCAACGACCCGGGGTACACAGAACGGGACACCACTGCAGCCTCCAAGTGCCCAGCGCCTGAGGGGACAGACAGGGCTCGGACAGGTCCAGGTCCCAGGCAGTGGTCTGGGACGGGGACCTGTGACAGAGGCCAGAGGAGGCTCCTGATCCAGCCAGGGTCCCGGAGGGAGGAGAGGTGGGCTGAGCTGGGCACCTCTCAGCCCTGAGTGCAGCAGCCTGAAGCTTTGGAGGGACCATCCTCCCCTCCCACCATGATGACTGTCCCCAAGCCACTATCTCTGCCCAAGCCCCCACCCATCCCAAGCCTCCTGTCTGGCCCACCCAGCCCGGCATGGCCACGCCTGTGCAGTCCAGCACCCCCTCCCCAACCCGACACCCATCCATGGCCCACCTGGCCTTGAGGAGCTGCTGCTGCACTATGGGTCAGGGGCCACGGGAACCCAGAGCAGGGGTCCCAAGGGGCAGAGAGAGCTTTCTAGAGCAGGGGCCATCTGAGCTGGGTCTTGATGGCTGTGTAGGAGTTTGCAGCTTGCAGTTTGCTGGCTGTGTAAGTCATAAAGAAGAGGCCTTCACAGTGGAGTGCCCCATCTTCTCCTCCCCCATCATCCTCTGGGACCAAGGCAGGTGACAAACTCGGGCACTGTCTACCTCCTCTTCTTCACCCTGTGGTCAGTCAGCGGCAGAATCTGGCCACTTGTGTCCCCTGGACATCATTTCTGTGCCTCAGGTCTCTCCATCCCCACTCGCACTGCCAGACCTCAGAGCCTCTTGGAGCAGCCCCTCTGCCATTCTTCTGGGCACAAGGGGGCACTGGGCCCCCTTGTGAGCGGACCTGCCCTCACACCTGTGTACACCCTCACCTGGACCCCTCCCTGCCCCTCCTGCTGATCATGGCTCTGCATGCACAGCTTCTCTCCTCTGAATGCCCACAGCTCAGCACTGCCTTGGGCCACGGTAGCCCCTGTCTGTCTGAGCTGACCGTGACCGTTTATACCCCGAGTTCAGTCTTTCCTCTGGCACTCCAACAGTGCTCGGCCCTGTAATCAGGGCTCGTGTCCCGGTGGGGAGCAGTCCGGACACACAGCAGCCACTACCATGGTCAGTGCCATGATGGGGGCCACCCAGGGTCTAGAAGAGCCCCGAGGAGTCCTGGACCCAGCTCTGCAGTCAGGGAGTGGCTTCCTGGAGGAGGTGACACCTGGTTCACCCTGTGACCCTCTCCACCTTCCAGCCAACCAACTTCCAGCCTCTCCTCTGCCACCAACTGGCCGACCCTAGAGACCAACAGGACCCCAGATGTGGGCCCGAGGGGCATGGGGGCAGGGTGCTACCCATCATCTGGTCACCAGTGACGTGCGGAAGCAGTTTCATCCCAGAACAAACTGGATGAAGTCAGTATGGTCAAAGCAGCTAATTCGTTTGCGGGGCCCTGCGAGGCGGCAGAAAAGGCCCAGCTTTGGGGGCAGAGGCCTGGGGCAGTTGCTCTACTCACCAAGCCTCTATTTCCCCATCCTACATCGTAGGGGGCTGTTGGATGTCAGGAGATAGCGGTTGAGAGAACTCAGTTGGGGGGCGGAGGGGTGTGTGGGAGGCACTGAGAGGGAAGGCGAGAATGGCAGGGGAGCCCTGGCCCGAGGCTGGGCGCCTGGTGCCACCTGCTGCCTAGCCAGGGAGTGGCTGCTGGCCCGGCTTGGGCCCTGGGTCTGGTCAGCAGGTGAGCAGGGTGGAGAGCAGGCTGGGGGGCCCTGAGGGCTCGGCACCCCCACACTGTGTGCTCCCCAGGCAGGCCAGGACCATGGTCAGAGATGTGGATGAGTCAACTTGAGAGCGGCTCAGCTCAAGGCCATGGGGCGAGCGAGGGACCAAGACCCTGGAGGTGGTCCCTGACCCAGGCATGCAGAAGCCGGGCCCCCTCGGCCCCCTCCCAGCTGAGACGGGCCACCGAGGTGCCGCGGGTGTTCTGCAGGAGAGAGGTCTGCATGTCCCTGCTCCTCCTGGGAGGTGACTCGAGGGACTTCTGGGGTGTCCAAGGCAGGGCCTTTGATAGGCCGTGGGCCCTTAAGGTCCACAAGGGCCACCTCTGATCTTGGACCCCTGGGGAGGGATGGCAGAGCCACTCCAGCATCTAGACCCTACAGACCGGGGCTGAGCCAGGGCCCGCCTGGCCTTGTGGGCACGGAGTGACCAGGCCGCCACCCAGGGCCAGGACTAGGGTGAGGTTGCCAAGGCCCAGCATCTCAGGGGCCCTCAGTCTCAGGGTGACACAGCACCCGCAGCCTGCCCATCAGCACGGTGGGCACAGAGCCAAGACCCACATACTATTAGGGGCCCATGAAGCAGTTTCGCTTCAGTTCCTTTCAAAGTGTGAAGGAAAAATGAAAGCAACAATACTGACTGTATATTATATGTAATATACAACATATGTAGCGAATGTATATAATAATTTGTCCTATATAGCATATAGCATCCATAATAATGAAACTAGCTTGGATTATATTCGTTTTTGCACCACCCGGTCATAAAACGTGTTTTGTAATCTCTTTTATGGCAGAAGCACCCAGGAAGGCAGAGTGCCCCCAACTCCCACCCCACGAGTCAGCCTGGGCCCCGCCTACGAACGTGGCCACTGTCCTGCCGCCCTGAGAGGCTGAGCGCCTCCTTCAGTTCCGTGTCCTGGGAGCCTCACTGGCCCTGGGCCCAGCCCTGCTCTCATCCCCCTTAGTCCCCCCTTTCCTGGCCAGCCCGCGGGAGGCCTGGGCCACGGCCAGCTGGGCGGCCCCTGCCATCGGACTCTGCGTTTCCCGACAGCGACACCGTGTGGCGGCAGCGGGAAGAGGCGGCCGTGAGCTCGGAGCCGCCACCCCTGCCGGCAGCCAGGGCGGTGGAAGGGGATGACCCCTCCCGGGCCGGAAGCCTCGGGTTCAAGGTCAGCCCAGGGGAGAGGGCCCCAGGAGCGCTCCCTGCTCCTCTGGTGTGCGGGGACTGAACTGCAGACTAATAACCGAGCGGCACTTACCCCGCACCCCCTGCCGGCTCCTCCACGCTCCGGGTGTACCCCTGCCATGGCCCCAGGTGGCACAGCAGGCAACCTCCTGCTCACTGTCAGCATCGCTGCCCCCCATCAGCGCCCCCTCCTCGTGGCCGCACCTCCAGCAAACCTATGAGGACCAGGGCCCCCTGCCAGGGATTCAGACCCACATCTGTCTCCCCAGGTATCGCCCACTGGCCCGAGGCCAGGCTTTCTGCAGGAAGGGAGATGGTCCCCAAGCTGGGAGGATGGGGCACTGGGGGGTCTGGAAATCCCGAGGTGGGGGTGGCCCAGGCAGAGGAGCCCGAAGGGGAAGCTGGGGCCGCAGTGAAGGCCTCAGACACCAGGCGAAGAAGGCCGGGTCTTGCTCTTGCTGCGGCCCGTGGCCGCCTGGCAGACTTCACGCCCATCAGCGTCATTTCGCAGAGATGGGTCTCCCTGATACTGTCCCTCCTGGATCAGGCAGGGCCTGAGGGGCCAGGGTGGGCTGGGGGCCTGGGGACCCGGGGGAGTCCCCGTGTCAGCAGGGTAGAGGTGCTGAGCTCAGCCTGTTTCTCTCTAGAAGGGGAGGGGGCGGCACCAGGTTACATGTGTCAGACCTGGACAGCTGGAGGACTGAGATGGGCCAGGAGGGGAGGGCCTTCAGGCCTGGCCTGCTCAAGGGGCTCCAATCCCACCATAGCCCCAGCTGTTCCAGAGCCTGAGGCTGTCTCCTTCCCTCAGGCTTCCTGCTTGGGGGCCCAACTTCACCGTCCACACTGACAGCAAGTGCCCCTGACCCCAAGGTTCCCGTAGCCTCCTGGGCTGCCTGTTGCAGAGATGGCCCCAGCTGCTGTGTGTCTACATGGCCACCAGGACTCTGTGGAAGGGGTGACTTTTGCAGGGAGGGGAGCAGAGGGCTCTAGCCATTGGTGTAAATAATCTTGAGTCAGCCCCCACTGGGGCGCCATGTGCCAGGGCGATGTCTCTGGTCCTCAGGGAGGGGCTGCTGTCCTGAGCCCATTTCATAAAGGTGGACATTGAGGCTTGGAGAGACACAGTGACTCTCCCAAGGCCACATAGCAGGCCAGAGCAGAGCTGGAATGGCGACCAGTTTGTCTACTCCAGGGCCTATAGCTGTCCTGCCACCCCCATGGTGTCTTCCTCCCTGTGGTGGGGGAGGGGGAATGGAGGTGCAGAGAAGACACGAGTTCTGGAATCCCTTCCCTGTAGCCAAGGAAGCAGGCCAGGCCCAGGGCTCTCCCAGGTGTCTCGGCAGCTGGCCTCGCATGTGAGAGTCCACCCTAACAAGAGCAAAGTGGCTGCCTGTGCACCAGGCACCTGGTCCCTCAGAAGGAAGCGACTCTCTGTCCCCGCCCACGTGACCTGGACTCGAAGCTGGTGGGGCCAGTTCCTGGCAGGCCTGGACCCCAACCCTCCACCTCCTTCCCAAATCCTGGGTGTCTGGTCCTGCCTCTGGCCAAGCCCCAAGCGGGCAGTGCAGCCCAGCGTGGTGAGCAACGCGTGCTTCCCGCCGTGCTCTCCAGGGATGCAACAGGAAAGGGCAGCCTGTCCTGAAGAAGCCCTCAGCCCCTCCCTGCCCCCCCTCCTTCCCCTCCTCCCCTCGTCACGCCCTCCACATCATGAGGCCCCCTCCTCTACATCTCTCCCGGGTCAGCCGAGAGGTCCCTGTGGCTCCGCGTGGGTGTTCTATCCCCGCAGGCGCGGCGGGGAGGCCCAAGCAGGTGGCCTGTGCTCTGAGGGCATCATGGTCCAGGCGGCAGCTGGTGGAAAGGAGGTGAAGGCCTGGAGGGGGGAGGAAAGGGGGAGAGAGGACAGGCACCTCGACAGGGAGGGTTTTGGGGGCAGGGTGGGGGGTGTCCTGGCAGCCCCTGATGGCCAGGCTGAGGAGGGAGGGCAGGAACCACCTGGGGGGAAGGCACGGGGGAGGAAGGGCCCTGGGGCCAGCCTGGGCAGGCAGGGGCCCTCGCGGGAGGAGGAAGCGCCCACAGGAGGGTGCCCAGCAGCACAGCAGAAGGGGGACTGGGTAGGAGCGAGCAGATGCCCCCTTCTCAGTGGCTGGGATGTGCTCAGAGAGGGCGGGGGCAGGGCAAGGGGGGCGTGACAGTTCCAGGAGCGAGGAAGCCCCTGTCTGCTGGGGTCTCCAGGGACCCCAGCACCCGAGGCCCCAGCCAGGTGGCCCACCGCGCAGAGGGGGTGCAGCCAGCAGGGGCCCCCGTGGGGCTGGGGATGGGGGGAGGTACCCTGCAGGTGGTCTGTGGTCACCCCCAGATGGAG